TCACATACTGTCATACACATACTCTCCCTTACATGCTGTCATACACATACTCTCCCTTACATGCTGTCATACGCATACTCTCCCTTACATGTTGTCATACACATACTCTCCCTTACATACTGTCATACACATACTCTCCCTTACATGCTGTCATACACATACTCTCCCTTACATGCTGTCATACACATACTCTCCCTTACATGCTGTCATACACATACTCTCCCTTATCCTTATCTCTCGCTAACCTTCCTCTTTTGGTTCCTGAATACTACTCATAACATAATTACTATCCACCTTTTTCCCTCCTTTTCCTCTCATCCTCCACTCCTCCCCGTCCCTTTCCTCTCCATCCCCCCTCCCCTCCCTCCCTTTCCCCCTCACCGAACCCCCCCTTCATCATATATTTGGGTCATAGTCTCCAGCATAACATTACTGAATATCCAGCTATTAGACCTTTGAGATCCGCCGGGTCTGTAATTCATACGCTAGAATGCAACCAGCGGCACCAGACAGCCTGGTTGATCCGATTAAACAACCAGGAGGCCTTGGTTTGAACCCGGGTAGCCGAGACCTTGATCCACACAACCACGAAGGTAAACTCAAGGTACGTTCCCCCCCCCCTCCCCCCCTCCTCCCCCCACCCCCCTCCCCCCCTCCCCCCCCCCCCCCCCTCCCCCCCTCCCCCCCACCCTTATTCTTTAGGAAATTCATCCATTTTGTGGATGTTCTCGTAATCCACTTAGTGTTGATTGGTGGAGGTTGGTAAGGCCTAATTGCTATGCCACAGTAAGGTCTGATGGCTATGCCACAGTAAGGTCTGATGGCTATGCCACAGTAAGGTCTGATGGCTATGCCACAGTAAGGTCTGATGGCTATGCCACAGTAAGGTCTGATGGCTATGCCACAGTAAGGTCTGATGGCTATGCCACAGTAAGGTCTGATGGCTATGCCACAGTAAGGTCTGATGGCTATGCCACAGTAAGGTCTGATGGCTATGCCACAGTAAGGTCTGATGGCTATGCCACAGTAAGGTCTGATGGCTATGCCACAGTAAGGTCTGATGGCTATGCCACAGTAAGGTCTGATGGCTATGCCACAGTAAGGTCTGATGGCTATGCCACAGTAAGGTCTGATGGCTATGCCACAGTAAGGTCTGATGGCTATGCCACAGTAAGGTCTGATGGCTATGCCACAGTAAGGTCTGATGGCTATGCCACAGTAAGGTCTGATGGCTATGCCACAGTACGCTGTGGCATAGACTCATAGTGTTACATAGTTCTCTTAACATTCGGTGATGATATATAGCTTATGGGAGACACAGAACGGCCAAGTAAACTTTCCTTTTTTTTTTTTTTGAAGACTGCTCATAGCACAGTCGATAGTGCGTCGGCTTCGCACGTGTTGGGGGTCCAGGGTTCGAGCCCCATACACCCCCAGGTGACTGGTAGGGCCAAGGTTTCTGACCACGTTCATTACGAAACAAACAACCAAATCATCTGGTTTCTTTTACACTTAGTTGGCAGTGTTCCTTTGACCCTTATTTCCTTTCCTTTTGGTTCTTCTCCCTTTTATCCTTCTTCTGTTGTGATCCTCATAGTCTCTTCCTTCCCCCCTTTTTTTCCTGTTTCCCCTCACTACCTCTTTCCTACCTTCTCCTCCCACATCTTGCATGCTTATTACTCTCCTCCATTTATTCTCTCTTCTTTCTTTATCTTTCGTTCCTACTTTTCTCTCACTGCTTTCCCTTTTAACCCTCCATTTTCGTCAATTTTTTTCCCCCTCATGCTCTCTATAACCTATCCACCTCCAACCCATTCCCACACCTTTCTCTCCCCATTGTCACTCCGTTTCCCCTATTGTAGGCTAGACCCCTTTTCTTGAGAGCTGGGAATCGTCTGAGAATACAATAACCTGTTTTACCTCATCTACTGTACACCCATTTATAGACTACATTTCATGTTGATTATATAACTGTTATGGGCAAATGGGCCTGTGGATGGTGGCAAAGGGTGTAGCATCAATGGGAATGGGAATAGGATTCCCATTATTAATATATTATTAATTACTGTTAATAATAATTGTGATTGTATGATTCCTTTTAAGTGTTACTGTGGCTCTTCAGGCTTTTCAGGATCTTCAGGATCATGGTTTTCTAATCATACACACACACATACTCGCATACATACACACACACATACATACATACAGATCCGTGCTCATTATGAGAAAGAACGAAGCAGAACACACACTTATCACGAGGACGAAATCAGAATGGACTCCAAGTTTTGCTCAGTGAAAACTTGTTGAACAAGAAACAAGTGTTTTTATTTTCAGGAAAAGGGAAATTACTTTAACACAGTCTAATTGATCAGTTAAAGTAGATGATCTTGTGTTATAAAGAATAAGAAAGCAGAGAAAATCAGATATCGTTTTGTAGGAAGATAGAAAATCAGGTGATATCGTATTCTAGGAATCACATGATGTCATATCAGGAATTGAGGATACCGCATGATATCGCTTCCAAAAGTAGAGGAAATCATTTTATATGTTTTCGAGAATCAGATAAACTAGCAGAAGCAGGAACCACTTCTGATGACCGACGAAACAGTGAACAAAGTTTTCAGAAAGCAGATAAAGAAGATTTTTTCAAATCTCCAGCCGTCTATAGAGAGCAGGCGGGAGGAAAAAACAGACTGATTCGGTTTCCAGGAAGCAGGCAGAAAGAAGATCCCGCTTCAGGGAAGCGACCGAGGAAGTTATTTATATCAGAGAGCACCCGGAAGTTAGGTTCAGATCCTTGAAAGTGAACAGAAAGGACCAATATCGATCACGCAAGACGTTGAAGAGAGAGAGAGAGAGACAAGTACTCAAGGCAGGAGTTAAGAGCCGGGAGAGGAGCGTATGGGAGAGTCCTGGAGGATTATTACATATTTCATTTACTTACAGATCGTAGATGTCTTCATAGTCGCCCTCATCAAAGATTGTTAGTGGTTTGTCACACACACACACACACACACACACACACACACACACACACACACACGTGTTTTTGGACAAATGGAATGCATTAGGAAGCAATGTGGTGGAGGCTGACTCCATACACAGTTTCAAATGTAGATATGATAGAGCCCAGTAGGCTCAGGAATCTGTACACCAGTTGATTGACGGTTGAGAGGCGGGACCAAAGAACCAGAGCTCAACCCCCGCAAGCACAACTAGGTGAGTACAACTAAGTGAGTACACACACACACAACACACCCACACACACACACACACACACACACACACACACACACACACACACACACACACACACATACACACACATACACACACATACACACACACACACACACACACACACACACACACACACACACACACACACACACACACACACACACACACACACACACACACACACTAGGAAGTGATGTGGTGGAGGCTGACTCCATACACAGTTTCAAATCTATATATGATAGAGCCCAGTAGGCTCAAGAATCTGTACACCAGTTGATTGACGGTTGAGAGTCGGGACCAAAGAGCCAAAGCTCAACCCCTACAAGCACAACTAGGTGAGCACACACACACACAAATACAACTATAACCTACCCTCACCAATCATTATAAGCCGCTTCAATAATCGGAAACTCAAAACCTAATCAACTAGACTTAATTACTTAGTGTTGAGTAAGTTGTCAACATTACAAGAGAGGCAGGCCTGTCAGGAGATTTAATGTGTGGTCTGAGCGCTAAACTCAATTGGCTTCAGTAATTTACTGACTCGCCAATTACGCAGATCAATTATTTCAATTAAAGATTGTAATTAATTAGATCAATTAAACCGGATAATTGATGTGGTGGCCTTCATGAGCTGCTCTCAGAATTTATTAGGTTGTGTATGAATATATATAAGTTGTATCTACAACTTTTATTTACAAGTTGCCTTAATAATGTAGTAAAGAATCTAATGGTTTTTAATTAAAAAATATTATTTTTAATAATAATTTGAATAGTCAATTTATATAACAATAATTTTTAATTACTAATTTTCACGAAAGTATTTTAAATACAATTATTTTTTTTTATAAAACAGTTGTATTAATAATAAACTTAATAATAACAATTATTTTACAACTTTAATAATAATAACAATTATAAGATTAATTTTAATAATATTTTAGGATAATTTTATTAATATTTTTAAGAATAATTTTAATAATATTTTTAAGATTAATCATAATAATATTTTTAAATATAATTAATAATATTTTTAAAAAATTTAATAATATTTTTTGGAATAATTTTAATAATATTTTTTAAGAATAATTTTAACAACTTGTATATAATTATCAATACAAAATATACAAATAATAATTAACAAAAATATATGTGGGGTACAAGTTACAGGTGAGTACAGCGACTGTACTCACCTGGGGCCTCGTAGCCTGGTGGATAGCGCGCAGGACTCGTAATTCTGTGGCGCGGGTTCGATTCCCGCACGAGGCAGAAACAAATGGGCAAAGTTTTTTTCACCCTGAATGCCCCTGTTACCTAGCAGTAAATAGGTACCTGGGTTTTAGTCAGCTGTCACGGGCTGCTTCCTGGGGGTGGAGGCCTGGTCGAGGACCGGGCCGCGGGGACACTAAAAGGCCCGAAATCATCTCAAGATAACCTGTACTAACATTACCTGAGCACATTTGAATAACATTTGCAACCACACTTTATAAATAACAATATATATTCTATTTATAGAATAAATCATCATGTTTAAATTAAATAAATTTGCTAACCAAATCATAATTTCAGTATGCAAGAATGTCAGTATGCAAGAACAAGATAAGAGATCTGAGAAGAGAGAGAGAGAAGGGGGGGATAAGAGATCTGAGTAGAGAGAGAGAGAAGGGGGGGGGTAGGTCAAATCACCTCAAGGTAGTTAGAGATCTGAAGGAAGCTGTATCATCACAAAGGTTCTTACAAGGTCGGTCGTGTTGACTCACTCTTAGTATCTCGCGGAAACCATTGCAAATTTGGTTTGGAGAGGCTGAATCATACCGGTTGAACGATGAGGCTGAATCATACCGGTTGACCGATGAGGCTGAATCATACCGGTTGACCGATGAGGCTGAATCATACCGGTTGAACGATGAGGCTGAATCATACCGGTTGACCGATGAGGCTGAATCATACCGGTTGAACGATGAGGCTGAATCATACCGGTTGACCGATGAGGCTGAATCATACCGGTTGAACGATGAGGCTGAATCATACCGGTTGACCGATGAGGCTGAATCATACCGGTTGAACGATGAGGCTGAATCATACCGGTTGACCGATGAGGCTGAATCATACCGGTTGAACGATGAGGCTGAATCATACCGGTTGACCGATGAGGCTGAATCATACCGGTTGAACGATGAGGCTGAATCATACCGGTTGAACGATGAGGCTGAATCATACCGGTTGAACGATGAGGCTGAATCATACCGGTTGACCGATGAGGCTGAATCATACCTGTCGAACGATGAGGCTGAAACGAAACCTGCTGAACGAGTGGGGGGGGGGAGGGGAAGTTCAGACTGGCAGGGATTTTTTCAGGATATCCAGATTCCCCGAAATATATTTCGTGCCAATAAAAACAGTGACAAGATAACGTACACAGCGGGATAACAGCAGTGACGATAAAATTATCGGTAGTGTAGTTGACAATTGATGGAAGCTGGTAAGTAGACGAGTAGATCAATAGGTAGTTAAGCAGATGAGTAAGTAGGAAGGGTAGATGGGTAAGCGACGAGGAGGAAGACAAGTGGGTAATGGGGTGATTCGTTCTCAAACGAGGTGTAAGGATAGGTGGTTTGTTGTCAGGTAAGGTTAGGTTAGGGCCTGCCTTAAATGGACCAATAGGGCCTGCCTCACATGGACCAATAGGACCTGCCTCACATGGACCAATAGGACCTGCCTCACATGGACCAATAGGGCCTGCCTCACATGGACCAATAGGACCTGCCTCACATGGACCAATAGGACCTGCCTCACATGGACCAATAGGACCTGCCTCACATGGACCAATAGGACCTGCCTCACATGGACCAATAGGACCTGCCTCACATGGACCAATAGGACCTGCCTCACATAGACCAATAGCCAGGTAAGTGTTTGAACCTCTGTGGGTTTCAGTGGGCGGGTGGCTATGAGTAGGTGGGTGGGCGGGTGGCTATGAGTAGGTGGGTGGGCGGGTGGCTGTGAGTAGGTGGGTGGGCGGATGACTGTGAGTAGGTGGGTGGGCGGGAGTGGGTTGCGTGACCCATGATGGCTGAGATGACCCCACAGGTGGCGTCCCCCGCCAGCCAGCTGCTACCTTCCCATCCGGCCTTGTGTAGTACTAACCCAGGTGGAGGAGAGGCGTCCCGCTGTTTACAGTGAGGGAGGGAGGGAGAGGGAGGGAGAGAGGGAGGAACGGGGAAGAGGAAGAAATGGAGTGATTGTAGATGAAGGGAGAAATTCTTGATTAAGGGAGGAATTGTGGAGTGAGGGACTGACGGAGAAGGCAAGATGGAGGAGGGAGGAAAGTATTGTGTAGAATGAGAGGAAGAGTGTGGAAATAGGGAGGGAGTGTAAGGAAGAAAATCAAATGTATAAGAGATAGAAGACAATACCAAAGAATGGAGAATAACCACAAATATCGATAATAAAGATGAAAGACAAGAAAATCTAATTAAAGAAAGTAAAAGTAAGGAGCAAAAAAAATAATAAGAACGAAGATTTAAAAAAAGATAAAGAGAAGCTAAAGAAGAGGAGATTATAACAGGGATAAAGAGGGAAAGAAATATATATGAATAAGGTCATTCAATAAGAGGAGAAACAAACCAGGAGGGAGAGAAAAGATTGACCAGCTATAGATCCTCGCTTCATACAAGCCGGTGCTCAATCCCCAATGGTCCAAGATGGAGCCCTGTTCCTTCTCACAGTAGCGAACCTGTCCTCCATAGCCCCCCCCCCTCTCCCTATTGCTGTACATAGTCGTACTGAATTATCTCTTTCGTCTGATAATTGACCTTGCCATGCAGGAGGAGGAACAGGTAACAATAGGGTTGCATAGATTCGAGTGGTCATTTCCTTGAGGAAGCAACAGGTGAGACTTAAGGAGGAATTGAGAGAGGGTCTGGGAGGGGAATTACATTCAATCATCCCTGCTTTCTTTCACACATTTTCAACCACCTCAATTTGCCTCTAACCTCCCTCCTCCTCCCCCTTTCCCCCCTCTTTTAACCCCTCGTTTCCTTATACCACGCTCTGTTTAACCCCCCACCCCTCATTATTCACCCCTTTCCCACTATTTCCCCTTAACAACACACGCTTATTTTGTTTAGGGCCGGCACTGTAACACCTCTCACCCCTTACTCTCCGATATATATAGTTTCTGTGGGTCTAACTCCACTGTGTACTAACCCCGCTCCCTTAGCCATCTACCCTTAACACCCTTCCCTTAATGCACCTCCCTTAACAATCTCCCCTTCCCCCCTCATCCCTTCACCCACCCGCCTCTCCTTCCTCCTACAGCAGGTGCAAGTATCCCATAACGTGGAGGCGTGAGAAGCTAAGATAAACCGTCTTACTGCACCTTATAATAAGGGCAGAGCAGGTTGGCTGGTGTGTACTCACTTAGTTGTGTTTGTGGGGGGGGGGGGGGAGGGGGGTTGAGCTTTGGCTCTTTGGTCCCGCCTCTCAACTGTCAATCAACTGGTGTACAGGTTCCTGAGGCTACTGGGATCTGTCATATCTACATTTGAAACTGTGTATGGAGTCAGCCTCCACCACATCACTGTCTTAATGAATTCCATTTGTTCACTACTCTGACACTGGAAAAAATTCTAATGTATCATGTGTGTGTGTGTGTGTGTGTGTGTGTGTGTGTGTGTGTGTGTGTATGTGTGTGTGTGTGTGTGTGTGTGTGTGTGTGTTGGATGGTGGAGAGTAACAGAGGCACATAACCCCCTTTCTGAAGGATGGAGGCATTAAGTTTGTGTCACCCCCTACACCAACACTCCCACACCACCCCCTCCAACATCACCCCTCCTCCAAACACTCCCCCCCCCCCCCCATCCATCCATCTCTGCCTCACTCCCCCTCAACAATTTGATCATTCTCCACAGTCCACGCCTCTCAACCCTACACCCAACACCCCTTATACCCCACACCTCCATCTCCCTCCCCCCCTGATACCCTATACACCCCCATATATACGACGTCACCCCCAACCATCACACCTTTTATCTAAATCACCATCAACCTATACAACTCTTCCACATCTCCCGTCCACACCCTCACAACCCCCCATCCCCTGGCTTTCAACCCCCCACCCTCCGTTCCCCCTCTCATCACCCCCCCCCCCTACTAGAACTCGACCCCCACATGTGCTATACACCCTCCCCCAACCCCCATCCTCCCACATCTCACGGAAAGCAGCTGTCGACACCACAAGACTGTGTGGTGATGGGGCCACACCTGCCTCCTGGTCGTGGTGATGGGGCCACACCTGCCTCCTGGTCGTGGTGATGGGGCCACACCTGCCTCCTGGTCGTGGTGATGGGGCCACACCTTCCTCCTGGTCGTGGTGATGGGGGCCACACCTGCCTCCTGGTCGTGGTGATGGGGCCACACCTTCCTCCTGGTCGTGGTGATGGGGGCCACACCTGCCTCCTGGTCGTGGTGATGGGGCCACACCTGTCTCCTGGTCATCTGGGCATCATCCCCCGTCTTCCGGAGGCTGCGACAGGCGGAGATGATCAGGCACGCCAGTATCTACGAAGGGAAGAAGGAGAGGGGAAGAAGGAGAGGGGAAGAAGGAGAGGGGAAGATGGAGAGGGAAGAAGAGGGGAAGAAAAATAGTAGCGCAAGATTGGAAGAAAAAGGATAGGCAGTGCCGCAGGAATGAAGTAATGGGAGCAACAGACAGGAAAATATGGAAATAGAGAGGGAGAGAGGATGGAAGAGATAGAGAATGCGGAAATGACTAATAAGTATAGAGTGAGAGGGTCAAATAATATATATATATATATATATATATATATATATATATATATATATATATATATATATATATATATATATATATATATATATATATATATGGAGAAATGACCAGATAACAGCACCCGTCCTCACCACAGCTACAACCACCACAGCAACAACCACCACAGCAACAACCACCACAGCAACAACCACCACAGCAACAACCACCACAGCAACACCCACCACAGCAACAACCACCACAGCTACAACCACCACAGCAACAACCACCACAGCAACAACCACCACAGCAACAACCACCACAGCAACAACCACCACAGCAACAACCACCACAGCAACAACCACCACAGCTACAACCACCACAGCAACAACCACCACAGCAACAACCACCACAGCAACAACCACCACAGCAACAACCACCACAGCAACAACCACCACAGCAACAACCACCACAGCAACAACCACCACAGCAACAACCACCACAGCAACAACCACCACAGCAACAACCACCACAGCAACAACCACCACAGCAACAACCACCACAGCAACAACCACCACAGCTACAACCACCACAGCAACAACCACCACAGCAACAACCACCACAGCAACAACCACCACAGCAACAACCACCACAGCAACAACCACCACAGCTACAACCACCACAGCAACAACCACCACAGCAACAACCACCACAGCAACAACCACCACAGCAACAACCACCACAGCAACAACCACCACAGCAACAACCACCACAGCTACAACCACCACAGCAACAACCACCACAGCTACAACCACCACAGCAACAACCACCACAGCAACAACCACCACAGCAACAACCACCACAGCTACAACCACCACAGCAACAACCACCACAGCAACAACCACCACAGCAACAACCACCACAGCAACAACCACCACAGCTACAACCACCACAGCAACAACCACCACAGCAACAACCACCACAGCAACAACCACCACAGCAACAACCACCACAGCTACAACCACCACAGCAACAACCACCACAGCAACAACCACCACAGCTACAACCACCACAACAACAACCACCACAGCAACAACCACCACAGCTACAACCACCACAACAACAACCACCACAGCAACAACCACCACAGCAACAACCACCACAGCTACAACCACCACAACAACAACCACCACAACAACAACCACCACAGCTACAACCACCACAGCAACAACCACCACAGCAACAACCACCACAACAACCACCACCACAACAACCACCACCACAACAACAACCACCACAACAACCACCACAGCAACAACCACCCCAGCAACAACCACCACAGCAACAACCACCACAGCAACAACCACCACAGCAACAACCACCACAGCAACAACCACCACAGCAACAACCACCACAGCAACAACCACCACAGCAACAACCACCACAGCAACAACCACCACAGCAACAACCACCACAGCAACTACCACCACAGCAACAACCACCA